TTCATGGAACCGGAGTCCAAAACATAGTTTTTCCATGCTCCTCAACTCTGTCACTCATACTACAACTTGTTTTCTTAAGAAAACTAAGGCAAAGTCTGCCTCCAGCAATCCTGCCACTATTGCTGCTTTTCAGATAAGTGGCAACTGTACCATGATCTTCTTCTTTTTCTTTCATAAGAATATAAGTTACGTAGGTGAGAGCAAGGATCCCTCTGTCCCAGACCCCTTTTTTCCAACAATAGCCGATCAAAAGCTTTCAGAAGGCCTGCAGTAAGGTCAAGGAAAGCAGTCCTTCCTTTTTGCTCACCCGCTCCATAACGCAACTGGCGTTCAGAAATGAATTGTCTCTGAACATGCAGGTTCCACAGAAGTTTCACTGCTAATAGCTATTTATATTTATTTAAAATATTTTACCCCGCCTTTCTCCTTGAAAAGGACCCAAGGCAGCTTGCAAACAACGAAAGACAATATTTAAATTTGAAAACAATGAGTATACAACAGAGGTTAACATCATTAAAATACAATGTTTAAAACTATGAACAATGAAAAAGGAGGCATCTTACACCATTAACAGGCGATATTAAGGCAAAGCTTAATAAGTATACAAAAAGGTCACTCTCAGAACTGGAAAACACAAGTAGTACTAAAAACCCAGTCACAGCAATAATGTATATGAGGCATCCTTCAGTCTCGAGAGACTATGGTAATGTGCTCTGTATGGAGAACTTGGAATAGCGTCTAATGTGGCTGAGAAGGCCAATTCGAGAGTGACAGTCCCTTCCACACTGAAGACAAATCCAATCTGTCCCCTGTCTGGCTCCCTGCTTTTGCTGCTTTTGTGACTTCCTCTTTGCCTCGGCCTGCTGGGTAAGGGTCTCTTCGAATTGGGAGAGGCCATGATGCAGTGCCTGCCTCCAGGCTGAACGCTCAGATGTCAGGTTTTCCCATCTGTTGAGGTCTATTCCTAAGGCCTTCAGATCTCGCTTGCAGATGTCCTTGTATCGCAGTTGTGGTCTCCCTCTGGGGCGCTTTCCCTGCACTAATTCTCCATACAGGAGATCCTTTGGAATCCGACCATCAGTCATTCGCACGACGTGCCCCAGCCAACGTAGACGTCGCTGCTTCAGTAATGTATTCATGCTGAAAATTCCAGCTCGTTCTAGGACTACACTGTTTGGAACTTTGTCCTGCCAGGTGATACCAAAAATCCGTCGGAGGCAACGCATATGGAAGGTGTTCAGCTTCCTCTCCTGCCGTGCACGAAGGGTCCAGGACTCACTGCAGTACAGGAGTGTGCTTAGGACACATGCTCTATAGACCTGGATCTTCGTATGTGTCGTCAGCTTCTTATTGAGCCATACTCTCTTTGTGAGTCTAGAGAACATGGTGGCTGCTTTGCCAATGCGTTTATCCAACTCGACATCTAGAGAGAGGGTGTCAGAGATGGTTGAGCCGAGGTACACAAAGTCATGAACAACCTCCAATTCTTTTGTGGAGATGGTAATAGAAGGAGGTGAGTCCACGCCCTGGCCCATGACTTGTGTTTTCTTCAGGCTGATTGTTAGTCCGGAGTCTTGGCAGGCCTTGCTGAAACGATTCATGAGTTGTTGGAGGTCTTCGGCAGAGTGGGCAACAGTGGCTGCATCATCTGCAAAGAGGAAGTCCCGCATGCCAATCTATCTAAAAATCACACACAGGTAGCTGATTTATTGAGGGAAGGCTTGCCTGAAAAGAGAGATATTTGCCTGCTTCTGGAAGGACAGCAAAGATGGAGCGAGTCTGGCCTCCTGTAGGAGGGAGTTTTAGAGTCTGGGAGCAATGACAGACAAGGCCCTCTCCTGTGCCCCCATCAGATGCACCTGTGAAGGCCTCTCCTGATGTTATATATGTTTCCATGGATTTCTGTAAACCACTTCTAAAGCAGGGATGGAAAGCCTGCAGCCCTCCAGATGTTGTTAGACTACATCTTCCATCATCCCTCAGTGTTGTCTCTGCAGGCTGGGATTGATGTCATTTGGAGTCCAGCAACATCTTCAGAGCCATCTGCAAGCTACATTCTCATTCTTCTTGTAAATATCTATAAAGCCATTTTACAGCAGACATGTTTTCAAACCCTTATCAGACTCCTGATCTCAAAGAACAAAACCCATCGTCCTCAGAGCAATTCATGACTGCCCATACTCTGGAGGAGGGCAATATGTTGGCAAACTAATCAAAGGGATCCTGACTGGTGTGATCATTGTGCCATAACCATCTACAGAATTAGGGGTTGTTTCAGCATCATTGATATGACAGCATCCCTGCTTTGCATGGTGTCCCCATCACATGAAGTCAGGACTTCAGGCTTCTGAGCCTGCCAAGAAGCATGTTGCTTCAGACCTTGCTCTGGGAGAGTGAACCCTCTAAAGATACCGTGATCAACACAGTTGAACTAACACAGCATTGCTGTCTTCATTATCAGTCTGTTCATCCATCAGTTTCTCTGTCAATTTTGTCCAGGTCATAGAAAGCATCCTGGCATGTAACTTCAACTCCAGTCATACCGGATCCTTAATTGGGTTTTAAAGGTGCCCAGCGTGCCCAACATTACTAAATGTTGCTGTGAAGGTTTCATTTCTGTTCATCAAATTTCCACTGAATGTTTACATGAAATATAGGTGTGGAAATGTCATTTAGTCATATAGAACAAAGTTTGCCAAAGTCTGATTTGTCTAAGACAACTGCTAACTGGCAGCTGAGGATGGATAAAAAAGGGGAATGCCCAATCAAGCTTAGGATCTAGGAGAAGATAACCACCTATAGATTTCTATTGCCGCCTTCTAGACTTTCTCTCTAGTCTGACGCTGCCAAGAAACTAGGAAGGAAAGTTGAGTGATAACTGAACTGGAGATCTTTATATTTTATGACTGATTAAATCTTAATCTAAAGCAAATACCAATCTCCGCTGGCATTTATGCATCTCTAGGAGTAAGACAGGGATGTTGTGAGAGAGTTTTAACTGTATGCATGGCTCCATAGAATAAACTGAAAATATGATATGCAGGATTTTCAACTGAATGTAAAATTTTCTCCCTTTTCGGAGGCTTCCATCTCTGCTTCCTTTCTACTCCTTGGCTGTACATGTGATCGCTTATCAAAGGCTTATTTCAGAGAGGTAGTGTACATTAGTGTACATTTCCAGTTTTGTGCCTTCTGGAAAGCCTGTTCCAGAAATGTGATGCACAGTGTTGCTGCAGATGTGTGTTGGGTAATCTGACTATATGGGTGGCTGTATTATATCATCCATGATTATTAACCTCTTTCATTACCTGGAGCACTTTGGGGAGTTTTAAAAAAATATTCTTTTCATAAGGTGCAAACAAAGCCCTATATGTGCTTCGCTAATCCTTTTAAAGAAAGAGTGATGTATGCCTTAAGTGTGATTTAGTTAATTTCGCCATAGAGGACTTAAGAGGGGCATGGAGAAACTCATTTAGATAGGAATGAGAGAGTTCACAGCGTGACCTCCATCTTACAGTGCATGCATGAAAAACAAGGATGATGGTTTTTTTTCACGGTGCTTTTGCATTATATTCACATACCTATAATTGGAGCAAAGTTGAAACCAGGCCACTAGCCAGGCAAAATCACAGATCTACGGAGCTGGAAGGGATCCCAAGGGCTGCCAGATCTAGCCCCCTGTTGAAGCAGGAAATCCACAACTAATGGAACCCTGACTTAGGTGGCCTCTGTTTAACTTCTGCTTAAATTCCTCCAATGCCAAGAGAGTCCACCATTCTCTGAGACAGTCCATTTCACAGTGAAACACCTTTTGCTGTCAAACTGTTTTGACAGCAAGAGGTGTCAAACCACCTTCCTTATAATTGGAATCCATCATTTTGGATCTTATCCTTTGAAGCTACAGAAAATCAAGAGGAGAGGCTTTAGGGAAAGAGGAAGGCACTGTTTTTGCTCCACAAAAATGACTGTACAGCCACCAAGGAGAAAGCAAGAATCATGGGGATTTATGAGTCGTAGCGTACATGAAAAGGCAATGAGCGGTTGCACCTGACTGGCCAAGATGGTTTGTCTTGTGTTCATGAAGTCTTAGGTCCCAATGATTTGAAGACCTTTTCTTAAGAGACCTTGCAGAGCTGCTGGCAGTCAGTGTTGTTAGCCGTCCAGTAATTTGGCTGACACTGTAAAAGGCAGCACTTTATAAACTGTCATCTATACTGACATAGACACCATGCAAGGGAGACTGGAGCAACCAACAGGGAAAAAGACAGGAGAAGCTAATGATCCATATTTATACTGCTTGTATATGGGCATGTACTTGCTATGTTGTACTGTAGGAGGTAGTTTATCACAGGAATTAGCATGGGTGTGAGCATGGATAGATGTACAGATGGACTGGGATATATGATGGAGAGAAGTTTAGGTGATGTTTCTGTGGTCAAGATGAGTCACCATTTCTTAGAAAGTAATGAGAATTTTATTTTCAAGTCCCCTTCAAACTCTTGCTTCCCCCCCCCTTCTTGCTTTTCTGCTTGCTTTCCCTCTGTCTGCTTCTGCCCTCCTCCCCAATGCTTTCCACCAGCCTCCCTTTTTTGTATTTTGTTCTTTTGTCGTCCTTTCTGGTTGGTTTTGATTTCTGACTTTTCTTCTGAAGGGCAATGTCGACGGCACATTTTTTTTAAAAAACGCAAAAATAAAAAGTCCAATCTGTAAACCTCAAACCGATCATATGATGTAAGGAAAAGAATACTCTAAAGTACCATTACCACCACCAAACCCAACACGCTCTCTGCCTTGAAGTGATTCCAAAGCGGGAGGGGCTGGTGTTTGTTGGGCTCGTGGGATGATGGGAGGGGAGACTCACAGTTTAAGAAAGAAAATATGGTTTCTTTAGGGTGGAGGTGGGGAGAAACAAAAGCAATTTAATCTCTTTTCTCTTTTTTTTCCTTCTTGCACCTTTTTTTTTCAATATATTTTTCTTCTCTCCCTTCCGATGCATAAAGTAGAAGTGGAACAGAAAGGTAAACAACAACAACATTACCACTGACCCCCCACCCCTAACCCAACACCTTGTTTTTTTTTCTCTGTGGCCATATTTAATGTGACCTTCCTTTACCTTTTCTCCTCAATCCTCTTCTTCCTAACCTCCCACCTCCCCTTCCCTCGGTTTTCCCACCTCTTCTTTCTTTGGTCTCACTAACTCCAATTGGCATACCCCGCTCCCCCCTCCCCCTCCCCCGTAGAAATAAAACCCGTCCAGTAACTGAACGACACCCAGCAAATAAAGGTTATCGAGCAGTCATCTAACAACTGCCCCCTCCAAACGTTTCCATTTTTCCTTGCTTACATGTGGAGGGGAAACACCATTTATGTCTGGGCTATGGCTGTCCTTTCTCCAGTTTTGCTTCCTTCAGGGGAAATGCACTTTTCCAAACCGTTCTCTGCGTCTTTTATCATTCAACTGATTCTCTCTGCTCCTTTCTTCATGTTTCCATGGCAACCAACTGGGTACCTTGGCCTACCTCAACCACTACTTCTCTCTTTCCTTTTTTTTTTTTTTTTTTGGTTTTTTTTTTTTTGTTTGTTTTTAATCTCAAATCCTGTTGTTTTTTTCGGGGGAGGGGTGAGAGATGCTTAAAATTTCCTGGAATTTATTTATATAAATAATCTGTTACAATGGAGAAGAACAACAGAAGGGTGTGTTTTTGGTTTTTACAAGTTTTTATTTTGATTAAAAAATGAGCATTTCCAAACAGTTCTTCCAGAATGTCCTACACAGTTTTGAGGCAGTTGCATACATTTTTTCTCATTTTATAGTCAATCTGGCTTTAAGATTATAGTGAAGGTTTTTACTCTAGATACTAGATACCATAAAGGCACAAAAATAAATGCCACTCCATCTCTGAGATCACACACACACCTTTCATGATCAAGGTGAAAAACACATGATTTAATGGTCTCTTGAACCAAAGACTTTACAAATCAGATCTTGAGCACACTGGAGGTGTTCTTTTGAGCCTCCCACATTCTTAATGAAGAATGCTTATGAAGAATGCATTTAGAAGATGAGTATTCACAAGTACATGTTAAATTGCATCATTTTAAAGGAGGGTGATTTTATCATGGTTCACATTATGAAAAATAAGCTAAATCAAATGTTTGGATAAATTTAAACATCAGTTGATAGAATTTACAAGCTAAGTTTTCAATAGTCCCCTGCCCCTTACTTTTTTCAGAAACAGAGACCTTTATTGGCATGCTCCTTACTTTTTTATTATTTAAAGAATTTATATGCCATCTTTCCCCTAAAGGATCCAGTCACACTCCAGTGATTTGAATTGTCTTAAAAAGAATTTTTGTCTTTTTCTGAACTGTTCTGTAGGATCTGCTACTGAGATAATGTGAAAATAAATGAACCCATAGAAAGTAATATTTTTAAAACACACATACATTGTTTATACCAATATACTTATCCCTTTGATGTGGGAATTTTTTATTTCTCGGTTTAATGTTTCTTTTTCTTTCTTTTGTTTTAAAATTCCCAATCAATCCTGATGATTTTGTTTGTATTACTTTAAATTATTTTTTCTGCCTTTTTTTTTTTAACAAAAGCTGCACTCATGATCATTGACTCTGTTATTGGTGGAAGATGGGGGTGGTGCATGAACGGGAGGGAGGTCAGACAGTGTATTTTAATTTGAACATCATGGCTAGATCTGGAGATTATAAGCCTACTGTAAGTACCAGGAGTCACGACTGCAATAAGCCTGTCTTGACAAGGGACAAGCTATTAGGATAGTTCTAGGAATCCAGCAAATTCATTTCAAAGTAGTAAAACTCAAAAGCCAGGCTTGATTCTACCCAAACCATGTCTCTGTTCTCTCTCCCTCTCTCTCTTCCTCTCTCTCTCTCTCTCTCTTTCTCTCTCTTTCTTTCTCTCTCTCTCTCTGTTTAGTTTGTTCTAAAAGCACAGTTGATTTTTCCCTCCTTCCCTGCATTGGTTTGGAACTTTTCCCCCAAGATTGGGGATGGAGGCATATACTTATACTTTTCTTTTCCACAGGTTTCCATGGTTTTGGATGTGGCTTTTTACTGATTGTTTCCTTCTCTGTTTCTGACATCTTCTCCCCCAACCCCAGAGCACAGTTATCCCCATCCCGACTTAGAAGGCTGAGTCGACACTGCCCCATCCATGAGGGATCGGAACCAGTTAACGCTTTGTGCTGTCCCCCCCTCGCCAGCGCTTCATTCTTTAATGGTGTGTTTCTCCTCCCCGCTGCCAGGAGTCATCCATCCCACCCCACCAACCCTGATGGGAAGCTGGGCTGAGCCGAACCTGTGAGACTCCATGAAGCTGCTTTGTGGCAACGTTGCCAGGCAGGTGTTCAGAGCAGGCAGGCAAAACTAGAAATTGGGAATATTCTGGATATTACCCTATCCTTCTGATCCTCCCTGAGCCAAAAGGTGACACCTAAGGTTCTTAACTTCAGCTCATCATATGCAGGTGATAGAGGATGTCACATTCCTGATAACAGCACAGAGATGTATATGTGCAACACAAATCATAGGCACATAGAACTCATACCTATGCAGATATGTTCGGGTAGATGTGTGTAGATGGAAATTAGGAGCAACATATTCACCTTGAAGAATTACAAAGTGACATGTACAATACCTATACAAACACAACCAAATTGATAGCCGAACATTAAGCAAACAGCAGATATGCATATACATGTAAAATATTAAACATGTACACATTGTAGTACAAACAGAGACATATAAAAGCACAGAAATAGATGAATGGATAACATTACATGCAAACATTTATAAGAAACAAGATGCTTTTTTTCAGTAAACTTGAGGATAATAGAGTTTGAAACAAATTTCACATACTCCTACAAAACACCTACAACTACAAGAAAGTATCACTCTAATCCATGAGCACATCCTTTTAGTCCACGGGCAGGAAAATCATTTGGCAACCCTATGTGTAGCTGCCGGATGCATGCAAAGCTGATGTGCAATAAAACAATGGTTCTCAACCTTTGGTCCTCCAGATATTTTGTATTTTAACTCCCAGAATCCCTGACTTAACCATGCTGCCTAAGACATCTGGGGGTAAATCTAAATAATTTGGACAGCCAAAGGTTGAAAATCAGTCAAGTGAGACACACATTATTCTTTCCAATCCAACTGCTCGCTCTCTCTCTAGCCAAATCATTGCTTTCCTTACTTGATCTAGACAGCAATATTTTGAAGAAGCAGAATAGATCCATCTGGATAGATGGCCTACTCTCCTACTCATTATTGACCAAAACCATTCCTAGCTTTGTTTTGGAATAGTTAAGGAAGAACCATATATGATACCAGGCACAATATGTAGCTCAGTAACACCGAGGGTACTGGGGTAATGATTGTCACTCAAGTGAATAATCCATAGATAGAGAAAGGAATAAAATGTGAAGAAGGACTGTAAGGAGCTTCCGGTGATAAAAGCATAAGTGGGGGACCATGACTGTTGGAGCTCACAGGTTCAGGCTCCCCACCCTGGCTTGATGATAATGACTTTTTCAGTTCCAAGCTGTTTCCCTGAAGCATGACTGTCAATTTGCAGGGAGATTTGGATGGGTTTGGACATAACATAAGATGGATTCCTGGCCATATGGCTACATTGGTCTTCTGTAGGCTGGAATGGGATGAGGGGGACATTATGGCCCTGGGAATTTAGGCATTGTCCCCTCCTCATAATAAGTGTAAAAGGAAAAAGCTTCCTTTCCGAAGGGAGAAAAGAAGTCCATTTAGGATCTATGTAAGTGGATTCATCAGAAAAATGGGGTCATGAGAGAGCGATGGAGTTAGTAAGCCATCCACAGGTTCACAGAGTCCTCTCTCTGTTCTCAACATTTGCTGCTGGCCTTGATCTGGTTGTTCTCTCACAGCCTCAGGGTGGGCTGTTCAAGATTACTATATCTTATAGCTTGGAAAAGTTTTTGAACCACTACTCCCATCATCCTCCAGTCACCACAGCCAGTGATCCATGCTGCTGGTGAGATTCTGGGAGATGAAATAAATCCCGAGTGCTTCCAGGTGTTGCTCACAGTACATTCCAGCCATAGATCTTAAGACACAAATTCCATAAAACCCATCCAGTTTCACCCTCAGTAAACCTGTTCTTGGCTTGCTGTGAAATGCAGCCTTGAATGGCGTAGGCCCTTCTTGGAGAAATACATGTCTCACTTAAGATGAAGGTGATGCGTGCATCTTGCCCATTTTGATATGACACTGGCACAGCCTTAAAAGACCTATGTCAATGGATACAAAACCTCCTGAGCAGCCATCAGTTGCACTTTGTGAGTCTCCAGTGGATTTGGCCTCAACTTACGAAGACTCAGTATGACAAAGTTTGAAAGCCATGGGCTAGACAGAGATAAATAGCTAACACACGAGACATCATGCAGCGCTGCAAAATCCAACTATGCCACATTAAGTTGTTCTTGTCTGATGACCTGCACCAGAGAACACTACAGGGATCTTTAACAGACCTTGTCATTGACATCTAAGCCGTGCAGCTCCCCTTCTTCCTCATTCACTGTCACTTAACAGTGAGCCCATCCATCTCTGTACACCACAGAACCCACCCGATAGCCATGCTTTCATGCAAGAAGGCTAAGCTGATGTTCTCTGCATACCTAAGAGAACAGTACTGGGGGGAGGGGGGAGGAAGTCTTTTTCTTCCTAATTTAAAAAAGGGGGGGTAGTTTACAGCTTGGCCTCATTGGCCGGCCACATTCATGAATAATTTAGAACAGACTCTACAATGAAGCTGGATTGAAGTCCCCATGACTCCCAACCAGCACGACCAATGGGAAGGGATGAGAAGGGGCCTAGTCCAAGAACATACGGAAGGCTACACATTCCCCACCCCTGCTCTATAGGAAGTTAAAGGGAGTGAAGAGACAGATTGGGTTCTCACATGATACTCCCAAAGCATACATGCGGCCCCCAAAAAGTCATGTACTGTATATCAAATAGTAGGGCTTTTCCAGATATACGTACACTATGCACCTGTAATAGGTACTATTATAACTGATGCCAAAGAACCTATAACTGGTTTCATGAGCTGAGTCCCCAGCAGTTAGAGATAAAAAGATAAAAGTCCTTTAGTTGGAATTTTCTTGGCTGTCAACACTTCAGCACTGGAACTATGATTGTCAGTCATAGCAAGTCCCCTCTTCCCTTCCATATGCCAGCACACAAACACACACACGCCCTGGCCATCTTTACCACCAAACTTAGAAGGAAAAATTTGCCAGCAATTGCAATGACAGAAGGCTTATTAATCAGAGTTATTTATTATTATTACTGAGAAGGATGCAGCATGACATCTCCATGGAGACTAAAACACTGTGGAAAAGAGTGAACTCATCAGGTTGCTGACTCAGCCCTGCTTTCTCTTCCTGGGGCTAGCCAGGGACTGTGACGGGTGGAAACAGTGGCAACAATCTAGCCTACACTTTTTTTAAAAAATAATTTTATTTTTTAACATAAGGGGTGACAAAAAGGAAAAGGGGACTTAGGAATCTAGCCTACACTTAAGGCCACATAAATCCCATTGATTTCAGTGGGGTTTGATCTTGCTTAAATGTGGGCTAGTTTGTACCCAGAGTCATAAGACTTATTTTAGCCCATTCCTATCCCTTCTTTTGTGCAAAAGTGGATGAGAAATACATCTGTCCTTGGGTCATGGTATGGCAGCTTAAGGTTCTGCCTGGAGCAGGGAGAGCAAGGGTGGTGGGTTATTGAGAAATATTCAGAGGGACCTGACCTGGCATTGTCAGTAGTGGTGCTCTGCTCCTCTTCCATGGCTGGGACCAGTTTCCATCTGAATGAGCTATTAATTTCTAGAGTGCTTGATACACCTACGCTTTCGAGTGTGTTCTGATGCTACTGACTCCAGCCAAGGAAGCTGAATCTCTGTAATTCCCAGGCCCAGTAAGCCTGACTACAACTGCACCCAGAGTGATGTGGCATATCATAGCAACTGTGTGTGCGTAATAAAGGCAGAGCAGAGAATTCACTTCTGCACTCACAAAATCTGCTCTCGGACATGTTTCTGGGACCAAGATAAAACTAAATGTCCACATAGAGTCCAGCTGACACTAGTGAGAAAGACACACCCTCCTACATGTGGAAATGCTAGGCCAGCACGCCACAGAAACTGGGCAGCTGGGGGTCTGATTTCTCCCTTCTACTGTGACGTGTAAACCCATTTACTAACCCTAAACCTCTCCATCTGTAACAGTAGGTCTGGTTAACTGACATCCCCTGCAGCCTTTAAGGCCTTATAGCCTGGATTTGATTTGACTGCTCCTGTGTCTCCTCTCTAGCTGCTCAGTGACACTGTGCTGTAATAGGCAAGGGGAATTCTCTGCTTCAATGCTGCTGCTCTCCTCACCCCACTTCACCCACTCCTTCCACCACTAAATGCTTTTTTTTTCTCCCAGCCTTGCTCCAGCTAACCAGAGGCAGACACTTGCAGAATGCCTGGCCTGATCTGTCTTCCTTTCCAATGTTTTTTTTTTCTCCCTCCTGGCTTTTCCCAAGATTCCAGGCTGCCAGCTGGGGTGTGGGGTGGAAGGGAGGGTCTTCCTTTCCCCAATTATCCAGGTCTCCCTTCCTCCCACTGTCACTCCACTCCTTCACCCCCTGCCATGTGCACTAGTCTCATGTCCTTTGCTGATCTGAATCAAACCTGGCTGATAAATTGCTCCAGTGGCACCCAGGATGTGGGGAGCAGACACTTTTTGTAACTTCTCTCTTCTGCCATGGCACCATTAGTTCTGCTTTCCAGGAGGGAGAAAGTCCCTCAGCTAATCTACAGTTCTCTGTCCTCAGGGATTAAAAGTAGTCTGTTTCAGCAGGAAGAGGAAACACCCTCTATCTTTTCTATTCAGTGGGTTTTAAGTGGCCAGGAACTGGATCTTCTTTATGATTGTTTTTCATTCCCCATTTCCCATTCAACATTACTTTGATAGCAGGAGAGCAACTTCAGGGTTGGCCATCCCTCATCCTTTTTCCATTCCCTCGGAGCTGTTCTTAAAGCAGGGATAAGAGGTGACAGACTGGAACCCAGAGGTGTGAGATTGAGGCCTTTGGAGCAATGAAAGATGGAAACCAGGGGTGCTTCCAGATTTGTCATATAATTGCCTGCCTCATGCATGGAAGGTTACTGGAGGTTCAGATAACAAGGGTCTTCTACTTGTAACCCTCTAGTGTTTTCTTCTCCCTTCTTCCGTTTCCATTAAAAACCCATTCAGGATGTTAGAATGGCTGCAGAATGTCTTTTGAGTGGTAACGCTAGAAGCACAGGTTGGGAAAGCTGGGGGTTTTTTTGGACTGTAACTCCCAGATTCAGAAGTAGTCCAAAAAAAGTGGCTTTTCCATGCTGTGATCTGGACACCCCTCAATACTTTCAAGTCCTTCTCCCAACCATACCATTGGTTTCTATTTTTAGGAAATCATTTAGAGCTAATTTGCAGCTTTGCTAGTGGTTTTTATTAAAGCAAACACCTGCTTTTCCAAAGAAGAGCATAGCCACTAGTATCAAAGTTCCAATATTAATATTCCAATAGAATTAATGCCATTCCATGTATAACCCAAGGAAATATGGAGGGCCAGGGCGCCTATTTCGAAAGGCCTTCAAATGGTTAGAACTGAATTACAAAGATCTGTGTAAAATTTGAACAAAGATGCAGAAATGGGGCCCAGCAGCTCTCTGCCTCACTGCTGTTGATGTTTATACCAATGCATGCTGGTGTTAAACACTGCTTGATGACTGGCATAAATTAGCCTTGGCCCATAGAACTGGTAAAATTGAAAGTCACCTTATAAATACAAAGGTCTATGGCTCATCTTAACCAGCCTTAAAGGCACTCCTTGCCACTCTGAAGGAACTCCCCAAACAGGCAACTCCCCAAACAGGCAATAGTTGCTTCAAAATCTAGTGGGATAGAAGTAGTCTAGGAATCCAGTGGAATAAACAACAAATATGTCCTTTCCTTAGCAACATCCTTAGTGTGCCTAGCTCTGTCAGAGCCACAAAGCAGACAAGCACACACCAGAACTTTGAAATATTAGTTATTTGGATTGTCAGTCCCCAAGCCCTCTAGCAAGAAGATTTGGAGAGTGATGGTCAAAAAAATAATAACTTTTCCAAGTTCTGGCATATACTCCTTTGTGGATTCTGTAGCATAAACAGCCTCATGATTTAGATAAAAGCCCTCTTGGTTTTTGAAAATCTAGTTCATGAGCCCTGGAGTCCCCTTTCTGCCCCAACCAAGAGGATGAAAGAGCATGTGGGGGTCTAGCTCTTGTCAATGGTTTTCACATAACTTCTAAATTTTCCATGTGCAGACCTCCAGAGGGTGATGTAGAGCATATGGCCAGGGATAGCATTGTTGGGCCAGCAAAATGCCTGCTCAAATTTCTGGGAGTCTCCGATTCAGGGAAGCAATTTCACACCCCATGCTTAATGCCAGAGAATGTAGTGAAAGTAGGGGAGAATGGTTTGGAACCCCTAAATTCCAAATTTTAATTTGACCTGGAGAAAGTGTTTCTTTCCTCTGATGTCCCCCTGCCCTTCCCCCCAGTATTTATTTAACTTGTCAGTGAGCCGTCTCTGCTCAATAACAGATAAAAGTCTCATGATTGCAGCTGCTATCAAAATTCAGCGCGGATTTCACTTCTCCTACAAACAGCCTTTTACAAATTTATCCTTTCTTCTCTCTTTTCTCTCTTTCCTTTCTTTCTTTTTTCCCTCTTGTTCACACTCTCTCTGGATTTTCCCCTCCCTCCCCCTTTTACCCAATCATCCTTTCCTCCCTTACATCCCTTCCTTAGTATTCGTTTGCCCGGGGACGCTGCACAAGATCCTGGAACCTACCTCAACCCATGAATCAGAACACCAGTCTGGTGCCTGGTGCAAGGACCCCCTTCAAGCTGGAGATCGAATCTATGTCATGCCGTGGATTCCATACCGGACAGATACACTGACCGAGTACGCTTCATGGGAAGACTATGTGGGTGCCCGTCACACCACCACATATCGCCTACCCAACAGGGTTGACGGCACCGGCTTTGTGGTGTATGATGGAGCTGTCTTTTACAACAAGGAGCGGACACGCAACATTATCAAGTATGATCTGCGGACACGCATTAAGAGTGGGGAGACAGTTATCAATACAGCCAATTATCATGATACCTCACCCTACCGTTGGGGTGGCAAAACTGACATTGACCTTGCTGTGGATGAAAATGGGCTGTGGGTCATCTACGCCACTGAAGGAAACAACGGACGGCTAGTAGTGAGCCAGCTCAATCCCTACACACTACGCTTTGAGGGCACTTGGGAGACTGGCTACGACAAGCGCTCAGCATCCAATGCCTTCATGGTGTGTGGGGTGCTCTATGTGGTACGAACAGTCTACGTAGATGATGACAGTGAAGCAGCTGGTAACCGTGTTGACTATGCCTTCAACACCAACATGAACCGTGAAGAACCCATCTCCCTGACCTTCCCAAACCCTTACCAGTTCATCTCCTCCATTGATTACAACCCCCGTGACAACCAGCTTTATGTATGGAACAACTACTTTGTCTTGCGCTACTCCCTTGAATTTGGCCCTCCTGACCCTAGCACTGGTGAGACATCGTTGCGGTACACTGTTTGGCGGTGGGGGGAACTAGAGTCAGGAATTCCTGTATCCATAGTTTCTGTTCCTAGTCGTTATAGGCTTTCCAAATATATTAAACAACCCCCCTCAAAAAATTTTTATAGGCCAGAATGTTGTTAGTTACACTGTTGGCATAACTCCAGTGATCTAAATTTCATTGATGAGTTGCCCTCAGTTAAGAATTTGACTTGATAGATGCATAGCATTTGGAATTGCCTTTTAAATACATATTTTACATGAAGCTTATATATTCCAGCAATCCCCAGATGCACATAGTTTTAAGATTACTGTGTTTGTGTTTGAACTAATTACCAACAAACCAGCGTCCATCTAAGCTGTACTACAGGTAGTACAAATTTGAGTCAATGTGTTCCCCCAACTGCTGCTCTCCAAAGTATTCACTATCCACCCCATTTTAGGAAACATTGTACCATATAATGACAAGATAATCTTTAAAAAGCAAAGATTTAGTCCCAGTGTTGGCTTTTGAAAATTTCTCTAATTTTGCCACTTAGCCACAAACAGGTACTTGAGTTCCAGTCAAATAGGAAGTGTTAAAGAATCTACTCAGCTCAATCCAAACTCCCTGTGACCTCAACAGAATCAGCATGGGCCTGAAATTCTGACAGTTAGCATCACATGGAGTTTAAATTGACAGAGATGGATTGTCTGAAGTGCCGTATTTGGCAGAAGCCTAGAGTCTACAAAAACTAATTCTCTGAAACTGGATTGAAGGCTGTGGTGGCGGGAAGGGGGGAGGGTATCCGTTGCTTATTCTGGATAAAGCAAAATCAAGATCCGTCATGCCCCAGGTGCGGTGCCAGATCTAGATTTGTGTAGCACAATGTGTAGCTAATTTGTTTTTCCTGCTTTGTCCATTCATCCCCAATACACAGCTGTTGCCTGGGTGGCATTTGCAAACTGTGTAGCAAACTGAGCATTTGTGCAGTTAATAGCACATGCTGCGGTAGGTTAACGGGATTTAGCCTTTGTGTGAATGCAGCCCGATCAGTTTAGCTTGAAAAATGTTCTTTTTGCATAAGATGTTAAGGTGGTGGTGGGGAAACTAAGTCTGGATATTTAAAAAGGGCAAGAGCAAGGCTATAGACCTTTATGGCACATAGCTTTAGGAAAGATATGACAGAGGATTCCAAGAAGTAATATATTGGCTAAGGGGGGCATAAAAAAATTAATAGGCATATCTGGAATTAAATATATGTATATTTACATAGGTGTTTATTGGAAGTACCATAAATTTTGAAGCTTATGGAAATGTAATCTAATAAAGCAATAGTATTTGACTAACAGTGGCCCTGTTGTTTTCCAAATGTTGGACAACACATTTTTTTTAAAACTACAGTTCCAGAAGTCCTCATATTGGCTAGATGGTTCTGGGAGTTGTAGTTCATAAAGTAACTTTCCCAAGCTTTGTTCTTTCTACTATACAGTAATAGGAAAGTATAGACACTGTGCATTATTTAAACTCCGGACCATTCTGGCTAAAGTAGTCTCAGATCTAGTTTGGGTTGGGTAGTTTTGGTTTGGTTTTTATTTCATATTCAAGAGCCAGCAACTCAGTATCTGCCCTTTCTGTCCGTAGGCCCTGTCACCTCAACGCCACTCAGCACTACGACCACCATCCGTCCCACAACAATAACCAGCACCATCTCACCTGCTGCCACAACAACTACACGGCAAGCACCTCTTACCACCCATCCCGTCGGTGCCATCAATCAGAAGGGTACAGAGGCGCACCCCGTCACGGCCATAGTCCCCAGCACTCGCCGCCCACCAGCAAACAACCAGCATCTCACCCCAGAGCTCTTCTGCGAGGCCAAGGAGGTGCGGCGTGTGCAGTGGCCGGCCACCCAACAAGGCATGCTGGTCGAGAGGCCATGTCCTAAAGGCACACGAGGTAATTGGGAAGAGCATTGAGAGAGGTAGCCCAACACCAGCTGGGGAGGAACAGAGAGATGGGGAGTCTGAGGGTTGCCTGTGGCAAGTCTTGGTTGCAGAAAATTGTCCCTGCCTCCTCCCTCCGAGCTTCCAAATTTGCCCACCCTTGTGGAAGAAGAAATATAGATGGGGGAAGCTGATATTTTGGCAAAGCATGTTTCACATTAGACAACATCACAATTAATAAATTATGACACCAAGTTATTAGGTGCGTAAATGAGCTCCAGTCTCACTCAACTCAAGGAGATAGTGCAGGCCCAAACTGCCCCTGTGGCTTGATTAATTCCCACCAGCTTCTGCAGCGACTGGACTTGGAGCTGTCATCAGATGGCACATTTAGTTAGAATTAGTTGCTTCTGCTCTTCTTGCTGTGGCAGCCATCCCAAGCCATGTGTCCCTGTTCTTTAGCCCTTACATCAGTTAGTCAGTGGTGGGCCCTCCTCCACTGCTGCAGTGGTGAGTGCTCTGTGAGATTGGGTTAGCTTTAGTGCTACGGACAGAAGTGTGTAACCAGGCAGCTTTGGACTGGAATGAATGGTTTTCTCTCCCTCTCTTGTGCCTTGCCTTGCCTTTCCCTTCCCTGTGTGCAGGCATTGCTTCCTTCCAATGTCTTGCATCTCTTGGAATCTGGAACCCACGAGGGCCTGATCTCAGCAACTGCACAAGTCCTTGGGTCAACCAGGTGGCACAAAAGGTACTGCTTCCCTCCTCCATTTCAGTGGTCGTCAATCAGATTGTTCCTATTGAGAAGAGCCTGCCTGCCTGCACAAGTCCTTTCTTCTAATGTCCATGTTTCTTTTCCCTTTCCTTGGCAGATCAAGAGTGGAGAGAATGCAGCCAATATTGCCAGCGAGCTTGCCCGTCACACACGTGGCGCCATCTATGCTGGAGATGTCAGCTCCTCTGTCAAACTGATGGAACAGCTCCTGGACATCCTGGATGCCCAACTTCAGGCACTGCGCCCCATCGAGAGAGAGTCAGCTGGCAAGAACTACAACAAGGTTCGTGGTGCCTGAGTAGTTTCAAGAGTATCTCTGAGGCTGGCACAATATATCTCAGTGGCTGAAATCCTGTTGCTTCTCGTAGTAGGGCCGCACCAGAATGGGCCCATTGAATCAGTGGGGATTTGGTGAGTCAGCTCCCCTATAACTTCCATTAGTTCAGTGGGTTTATTTTAGCTGTGACTTACTGTGCTAAGCAAGAAGTTTTCAGCGAGTGTTTCCAATTGATTTATAACTCCACTTTACACTGGAATGATGTATGAATATGCTGTTTCTGACCTGGAAAGTGTAATCAATATCTTAATAATTGAAACCATCTTTACCATAAGAAAACAGAACAAGATAGAAAATAAATAAAAATCAACTGTGGAAATAAAATTAATTGTCCAGTTGCATTTAAAATGCCCAATATTAAATTAACTTGGATTCACATTTTCATACAGGATATGTCTTTCGTTATAGCTCTGCTTGCCTCTGGTTACTTCAATGCTAATGTGATTAAGGACCTCACAGGAAAACCCTATCCCAGTGGGTCTTTCTGAAATTCCATACTGACTGTTTCCTTGCTGTTTCTTCACCTGAATCATTGTTGAATCTAGGCATGTACATTCTACTTTACAGATGCACAAGAGAGAAAGGACATGCAAGGACTATATCAAGGTGAGTGTGATTAACATATCCTGTGCTCTAAACCCTGGAAGGAAACACCATCCATGAAGCAGAGTCCCCACAACATTGGCTCTTAGGGAAAATCTGAGATGGTAATTCCCTTGCTCACAATGAGATTTGTGCAGAGATTTGTTCTGCAGAAAGAATTGCCATGATGGGATTGCTTTGAGTTTACAAGAGAACAAGAAGGAGGATGTTTGTTGTTGTTTCAATTTAAGGAGGAAGCTATAAGCATCATCATCATCTTAGAACTACAGAGCTGGAAGGGACCCTATGGATCATCGAGTCGAGACCCTGTCAGGGAGGCACAGTGGGGAATTGAACTTTCAACCTCTGGCTCCACAGCCAGAGACCTAAGCCACCTATCCAGCAATTTGCCTATGTACAAACACACACACATAGTTTCTATGAAAATTTCCCAAGTTATCACATGAGAAAGAATGCTTAAACACTCATTTGCACTCTGCTCCAGTAACATGACCGATTCAATGTGAGGGAGATTGCAGACAAACTATTCCCCACATGAGACTGGTGATAGGAGAGTACATTTTATATGCATTGTATGATCATCTCTGAAGTCCTGATTCTGTAGGAAATAGCATAGTACCTACCATCCGTGTGACAAACAGAACAAGATAGCTTTGCTGCAGGAGCATCATATTCATTATCACTACCACCTGTTCAAAAATCATGAGAAATGTTGACTCTGTAGTAGGACTGGAAACACAGTTTAAGAAAACCTTAAAAACAACTCATCTTGGATTTTTAATTTTATAGGAATAGCACAATAAGACAACCTACCCCGCACTAAAGAAAATCACTATATCTTGTTATTATATTTATTGTTCCAGTAATGAACCAATAATACCTAGTTTTTCAACAAAACTATTTGCTGTCCATTTTCACATTGTCATAAAATTTAATAGCTTTGTCATTTCAGCCATTTTCCATAACCTCCCTAAACAATCATCAAGCATACATTGAATTCAGATACATTTTTAAAAGAAAAAAAAATCAAGTAGCTCACAAAAGAGCAGGGTGTTTCTGTGGGGAGAAGAGGTGCTGAGAGGCAGCTAGATACATACTCTCATAATAAATAATACAGGAGAGGGTATAAGACATTTCGGTAGGGAATGCAGTCTACAACTGTCCCCAACAGCGTGAGTATTTGGACATGGGAGTTGCTTTGCCCATCATCGTGCACAAAATATGCAGTGCCCACTAGGTGTCTGTAGCACACATTTAGCTGCATTATCCAAGGCAATTGATAGCAATGACTATGGTATCTGGAGGAAGAATTACATTTTTCTGACTCTTGGATGTTCACAAAACATTTTGGCTTAGATCCAAGTTCAGCTTTCTGTGAAGGGAAGGGTTTCTTCTCTCCATGGAAGACTTTTGAACCAGTGAGCTATCGGGAAGACAAACGAAGACAACCGAGCAAGCCTTCAGAGGCACAAGGGACTGTAAGGAGGGAGGATGGAGGGAATTGGGAAAAGTTGTGTCCACATGCTGGTGTTATGCCCAGGGTGTGCTCTCACTGGCAGTAGTCAAGTCAGGAATCCTTTCAAAACAAAAACTGCTTCAAAGGAGAATGGCTAGATCTCTTGCAACAAAGGAATAATGGGTGTGAATTTGCTGCACAGACAAAAATGCCCACCTCTCAAAAGCACACATATGGATGTCTTCCAGTGAGCGGAGGTAGTAGCATGTGAGGTCAAACTGCAGGTTTTCTATAACGAGTGCAAGGAAAACTGCTGAAAGTGCACACACACACACATGCACGCACACGTGTCTAGGTCCTCTCATAGTTCTTTCATTCCAGGCTGTGGTAGAGACAGTGGACAACCTCCTGCGACCGGAGGCATTAGAGTCCTGGAAGGACATGAATGCCACAGAGCAAGTGCACACAGCCACCATGCTGCTGGACATCCTGGAGGAGGGAGCCTTCTTATTGGCTGACAATGTCAAAGAGCCAGCCCGCTTTGTCACTGCCAAGAGTAATGTGGGTAAGTGATGGATGCCAAGCTCACATCAAGAAGCAATACCTGTGGCAGAAATGTGATAGACAGTTACAATGACAAGTAAGATGGGGAAAAAATCATGAAGTGCTTTCTACACAGATTAGTACAATAGAAATCCCAACCACTATACAGATAAAGAAGCTAGTACCCTCAGTTCGGTTTCCTGGAAATGCTTAGAGAAACCAAGAAATGTAACTAAGATTGGTAGCTGTCAAAGAACTGGAGAGAGACCTGGTGTTTTGCAGATTTATTTTGGTTCCAGCCCTACTGAGGAACTTGTTTGTAGGGCAGAGAAGCACAACTGGAAATGTATTGCCTTGATCCACCACCCCCTCCCAGGTTGATGTGAAGAGTTCCCCATATCCTGAGAACACCGGAACGTCATCATTCTGCTCCTCCAGCTAAAGAAGCTTCAAGAAGGCAGATGATGCCATAACAAGTTCAAGTCAGGGGAGAAAGCATACCAGGGTTGAAGATGCTTCTCCTGGGCAATCAAGTGAGAGGTGCTGTATGAGCTGTTGAAGCAAGTAGAGAGGAACCCTTAGAGGCTGGTTGGGAAGCATGGAGCACATGGCAGAAAGCTTGAGTTAGGGATGCCAAAAAAAGCAAGAAGAGAGGGGGAGGAATTAAAAACAACGAGAGAAGGAAAGGAGTGGTGGCCTCCCATCTCCCAAACGCCTCTCTCCTTTTGGAATTTCACAAGCATTTTCCTGGCCAGTTGTATATAAACATGGATTCCATGTGGATCTCTTCTTGCTCTTGATGGTTTTCCAGTACAGTTGTCCTCTGCAGACATACACATGCTGGGCTTACAGCATACTGACATATTTAAAAATATATCGGTATCTGTTGATATTCACAGCACATGCTGTCAGGAAAAGGAATTGAGTATGGCTAACAGAGAAAGATTCTGTGTCAGAGCTCAGGAGGGAACCAGGGAACCAATTAAACAGAGTGGCCAGCCCTATGGAAGGCGGAGATACCTTTCTGCATCTCAGGCCCTGGCTAACCACTAATGCGGTAAAAGCCATTAGTAAAACTATTGCCAAACCCTTCCAACAGTATGGTCTGAACTGTTCTATTTGATGGGACAGATCTAACAAGAGTTATTAGCTCAGCTGGAGCCATTAGAGCATCCAAACAATTACTGTTTCGGAAGTGTAGCCTCTTGTACGAACAAAATTCCAGCAATCATGTTCCACAGCAGGACTATAAATAGATACCGTTTTCCAAACAACCTGTATGCAAATACCTTTTGTTTCCAGCATCAGTATGTAACCAGAGAACTAGAAATGGTGATAGTTAAATTGAGCCCTTTGCCAATCCTCGTCTCTATGTTGCTGCTGCTTGGATGAAGTGGCACACCACCCAGAGCAGGCAATAAAGCTCCCCAATACAGTAGCTCTTGCTATTTAATAGAAGAATGAAAACAACAACCCATAAAGGGTTGGAAATAGCAATGTGTAGACAAGTGAAGAGAACAAATCAAAGTAAGTTTGAGTGGTGCAGATGCCTGGGCAATTTTTTTACATTTAGCACACTGCTCCACCATAGTGATATGTGCAAAACAGAACAGACTATCATCAAATACACTGTTAGCAGCCAGAAGGTAGAGATAGCAGTTTGACAACTAGAAACCATTTGGAGATCAGAGTGTGATGCAATTAGCATAACAAGACGGTCTGAAAGAGAGTCATCCCATTTATGCTCTAGCATTCCAAAGACAGGTAACATGTGGACGTTGTATGCTCTGCCTATTGGGAAACACATACATTTTTAAAAGAAAAAGGAGATGATTAAAAACTGTTCCAGATGTTGTTGTGTCTGTGCTTTCTCTTTTAACTCATCTCACTCTTGTCTCTCATTGCAGTGCTGGAGGTGTCAGTGTTGAATACAGAGGGACAGGTGCCAGATATTGTATTCCCAAATGAATATGCTACCAGAAACTCCATTCAGCTCTCAGCCAACACAATCAAGCAAAACAGCCGTAATGGTGAATGGCAAATGGGATTTGAGGACTGGGGAGGGGAGAGGTACCAGCACCTTGATAAAAGAGTTCCCCGGAATATGTTATAAACCATGCTGCCTGTTTGGGAAGTTTCTCTCACTCTTTTTCTTTCATTTGATTGGTTGGTTCCTCTTTTTAAAAAAAACCCTCCCCCCCACAGCTGCAATTTATCATCTGTCACATGTGCCCTGATGGCATAGCTTTCATTTCTTTCTTTTTCTTTCTTTTTCCCCAGGGGTGGTCAAGGTTGTCTTTATCCTGTACAACAATCTGGGATTTTTCCTCTCAACTGAGAATGCCACCATTAAACTGGGTAGTGAGGTTGGTCCGCTCAGTCCCTCCTTGGTTGTCAATTCACAAGTTATTGCTGCCTCTATCAATAAGGAATCCAGCCGTGTTTTCCTTATGGACCCTGTGATCTTCACTCTTTCACACTTGGAGGTAAGACTAGGATAACACCTGCAATCAACTGCGCCCATTCCCCTTGCCCTGGTTGACTGTAGTTTCACAAAAGTAAAGTTACATTATTCCCAGATATTTCTTAAGTTGTTTCCTATGTCCATATATCACAACCAGTTGTTGCCAATCCTCAAATGCCTCTTGACAATTCACTTCACACCTTGGACATGTGACATGATCTGGCCTTCTAGCTCTCTCACACGAGAGAGTTTCAGAACATCTCTCTGATGTTCCTCTGCTACCAAGGTCCTCAGGGAAAAGCAACCTGGCGTCATCCAAAGACTGGCAAAATGGGTGGTAGAGACCATCGAGTTAGCTTACAAGATGTCCCATCAACCAATACCTCTGGGTATCAAAAGCCACTCAATGGGAGCTGTCACAACCTTTTATGCCGCCCAAAGAGGACTCTCGTTGTCTAACATCTGCCAGGCTGAGACCTGGTCCCCACTGGATGTATTGCAACCTATATATGTGCCTTTGAGAGATTTTGGCTGGGAGGGACCTTTCTGGACTGGGGTGTATGTCAGTCAATCCGGTAGCAGCCAGCTATTTCCTCTCTATCTCAGATCTTGTTTCCCATCTTTTTCCAATCAGATTTCTGTCATTATTAGCAATGGAGTCTGAAGACAGAGTGATGTGTTCTGTCAGCTGTGTAACCAGTTACTCGGTAATGAACCTAGTGATGTAACAAGTTAAGATTTTTACACAATATGTTGTTTCTTTTTATTTTCAGAGAAGTGTAAGTAAATGGAAATATTGTATTCTTTCTCATTACTAGAGTCTCTGAATTAATTATTGAGACAAAAGGTGCCAGTTGAGGTAAACTAACGAATAAGGGGTGGTCTACTGAGGGAGACTTGATGCCAATCTGCTCTGTAGGTTCTGCCTAGAACCATTTTATCCACTCAATAATTAGAGGAAGTTTAGTTTTTAATTTTAAAGCCACACTCAAGTTTCCTCATACACTCTGCTCCGAGAGTCCCAGCCACTTGCCTTTGTCAAGCATTATAGACTGGATATTTGTTGACAGCAAGATGCTTCTTTTGGATGAGCACTGCTCATGCTCACATTGGTGATAGCGTGACATCCCTCCTCAAGTAAGTGAGTTTGCTGGACAGCCATATGCGTGGTTCACAGAGACCACGATGAAGAAGGACAGGCTGCTTACCTGTATCTGTGGTTCTTCGAAGGGTCATCCATGAATTCACACATCCTTCCCTCTGTCTGATATGCTCAGCTTCTCTTTGGGCAACAGACAGAGGAGCACTAGGTGAGAGCTGTTAGCGTGTGCCAAGTTATGGACAGTGGTGCTGAGGGAGGGGAAAAATGCATACCCTCAGAAACTTCCAAGGCTGCTTTCTGCGCAGACACAGAATCCATACGTACAGATTTCCAAATGACCACAGTTGCAGCTAAGAAACCCATCCTCTCTTCTTCCTGTAACAAACCACTTTTTTTGTATTCTGTCTTTTGATTCTATCTTCTGCTACCCTGGCCTTACTCCTGCCTTAGTGATAGCTGCCATAGGAATACTTCTCTCTGTACAGGACAAGAACCACTTCAATGCCAACTGCTCCTTCTGGAACTACTCAGAACGCTCCATGATGGGATACTGGTCCACACAGGGTTGCCGGCTGGTGGAAACCAACAGGACCCACACCACTTGTGCCTGCAGCCATCTCACCAACTTCGCTGTGCTGATGGCACACCGTGAAATTGTAAGAATCTCATTTCCATTGATAGAGGTAGTGATGGGGGGATGGTCCCGATAGAGAGCTAGAAGGAAACAGTTTTCTGCCACCATGACGACAGCCACTGTCTGATCATGCATTCTGAATTTTTGTGCTTTCTGTTATGGGTCCCACATGGGTGGCAGTGATGCCGATAGGAAATGACAGGTATTGTTCTTTACCTGTTGCTCTCAAGCGAATTGGGGCAGTGGCAGCCAAAGCTTGGTAAAGTTTTACATTTGTCTGTGTGTGTGTGTTTGTTTGTTTCGATGACAATTCAGTGCCCATGCCAGTTGGAAAACAGAAGAATTTTTCCAAATGCTCGTGGCAGCTCATCAGATGGAGCCAGTCTGAGTAGCAGCCCCTGATATTGGATATTAGGTTTTAATGTAGTATTTAGCCCTAGAGCAATAGAAACTACCTGGCAGGAGAGGGAAGCTGTGTGCACCCAGCCTCATTTCTCTTCTTCTTTCAGTACCAGGGCCGCATCAATGAGCTGCTGCTCTCTGTCATCACGTGGGTGGGCATTGTGATTTCCCTGGTCTGCCTGGCCATTTGCATCTCCACCTTCTGCTTTCTGCGTGGACTGCAGACTGACCGCAACACCATCCACAAAAATCTCTGCATCAATCTCTTCATCACAGAGCTCCTCTTTCTCATTGGCATCGATAAGACACAGTATGAGGTGTGTGACAAATCTCTCCTCCCAAGAATGCAGAAGCACCATGGAATAGTCCTCAACTGGGAAGGCAGGCAAAAGACTCTCCAAGGGACAAGTGGTACAATAGGATACAGTGAGGATCTTAACTCAGCTTGGCAAATCTGTGCACAGCACTAGCAAGCGAGCCAATAATTAAGGATTTGGGGGGAATGCTGTAGATGTAATATATCTTAACTTAAGCAAAGCCTTTGACAAAGTGCCCCATGATATTCTGATTAGCAGGCTAACTAGGTGTGGGCTGGATGGAACATAGATGGATACAAGTGGTTACAGAATTGTACTCAGAGAGTGCTTATCAATGGCATCTTTTCAAACTGGGAGGAGGTAACAATTGGGCAGCACAAGGCTCAGTCCTGGGATTGGTGTTCTTTATCAATGATTTTGATGAGGGGATACAGAGAATACTATCAAATGTATGGATGATGCAAAATTGGGTGGAATAAATAATACTTTGGAAGACAGGAACAAAATTCAAAAAAAAATCTTCATAGGCTTGAGCACAGAGCTGAAAACAACAGATTGAAATTTAACAGGGATAAATGCAAAGTTTTACATCTAGGCAAAAAAACTCCACCAAATACACAGGTACAAGATGGAGGATACTTGGTTCAGCAATACTACAAGTGAGAAGAATTTTGGGATTGTTGTAGATCAAAAGCTGAATATGAGGCAACAGTGCAATGTGGCTACAGAAAAGACAAATGCTATTTTAGGATGATAAAACAGAAGTATAGTCTCCAAATCCCACGAGGCACTAGTCTCCCTCTATTCAGCACTGGTTAGGATTCATCTGGGATACTGTGTCCACACTTCCAAAAAGATGCCAACAAAACGGCGCAAATTCAGAGGAGGGCAACAAGGATTATCAGGGGACTTGAAACAAAGCCCTGTGAAGAAAGACTGAAGGAAATGGGCATGTTAAACAGAAGTATAGTCTCCAAATCCCACGAGGCACTAGTCTCCCTCTATTCAGCACTGGTTAGGATTCATCTGGGATACTGTGTCCACACTTCCAAAAAGATGCCAACAAAACGGCGCAAATTCAGAGGAGGGCAACAAGGATTATCAGGGGACTTGAAACAAAGCCCTGTGAAGAAAGACTGAAGGAAATGGGCAGGTTTTTGCCTTGAGAAGAGAAGGCTGAGGGGAGTTGTGATAGCACTTTTCAAATACTTGAAAGGTAAATGATACAGAGGAGGGACAGGATATTTTCTCCACCATCCCAGAATGCAGGACACATAATAAAGGGCTCAAACTACAGGAAGCCAGATTTAGGCTGAATATCAGGAAAAATCCTTAACTGTTAGAGCAGTATAGCAATGGAACCAGTTGCCTAGGGAGGTGGTGAGCATTCCAGCGCTGGAGGCACCCAAGAGAAAATTGGACAGCCACTTGTTAGATCTGCTTTGATTTGAATTCATGCATTGGGCAGGGGGTTGGAGTCAATGGCCTTAGAAGCCCCTTCCAACTCAATTATTCTGTGATTCCATGACTAATAGTACTAATATTATTTAAAATACTCTTTTCTGAAAGCCTGCTAAAACCTGTTGTCAAGTTTATCAAGTAGGCCTGTTGTCAAGACAAAAGGCCAGTGATGAATAAGATGACGTTTAATAATTATTTACAAACAGCAGACATGTTTTGGAGTTCTACTCCTGATTCAGAAATTGACATTTTAAGTAATTATACGCCAACCATACATTTTTTTCTTCCTGTCTGAATACAGAAGCAGTAGAGAGAGTTACCTATTCAGATAGCAAGAAGATCTGTGTAGATCTTTAATTGCATAAAATGTCAGTTTCTGAATAAGGAAAAGAACTCCAAAATGCATTGGGTATTTGTAAATAATTATTACATTTACCTCATTCAATGCTGGGCTTTTTGTCCTTTATTTTCTTCAGCTGACTTGGTGCTGCTTCTGTTACCAAGAAAGGCAGGATATAAGTGCTTAAAATATAGCAAATGAATACTCCCGCCTTCTGAAGTAAAGAAAAGACTAGTCATGCTGACGAGAATTCTTTCCTCCTCCATCCCAGATTGCCTGCCCCATTTTTGCAGGCCTGCTGCACTACTTCTTCCTGGCTGCATTCTCCTGGATGTGCCTGGAGGCCATCCACCTTTACCTCATGCTGGTTGAGGTCTTCGAGAGCGAGTACTCCCGCAAGAAATACTACTACTTAGGGGGCTATTGCTTCCCTGCTCTGGTTGTGGGTATTGCTGCTGCCATTGACTACCGCAGCTATGGCACCGAGAAAGCGTGAGTACACAGAAGGCCTGAGCAAATGGCTGGGGAAGAATGGGTGGGAAGGATAAAACAGGCTATTAAAAAGCATCACTGATGAAATGCAGAGAGGGGTTAGTATGTTACCTCTCCAATAGCACTAAGCCTGGAGGAAGGAGAGATAAAAACCATGGTAGCTGCCACCACACCACCTTGAACACACCCGGTCTCATCTGATTTGGGAAGCTGATCACAGTCAGGCTTGGTTAATACTTGGAAGGGAGGCCACCAGGGGATACCAGGGATCTCCAGGTAGGGAAAGGAAAAAGAATCCTTCCTGGATCCCTGAAGAGCCACTGCCAGTCAGAGTCAACAGCATTGGGCTGGGTGGCCCAAGGTCTGTCCTCTTCTCAGGCAGTTTCCTACATTCCTATGCAAATGACAGCAGAAGGTGAGTGTGTAGGCTGCATTGAAAGCTACCGAGTGAGGCAGCACTTGGAGTCCGACAAAGGGAAGGATCAAGTAAAATAATTAAGAGAGTCTGAGCACGAAGTAGAAAGGGAGTGTATGGGACAGTGTCACTTTATGCTAATAATAAGCCGTGAAGGCGTTGAATCTTGAGGTATTCATTGTCTTCCCTACCTCCATCTGACACCATCCTCCTCTTTGTGGCAGATGCTGGCTTCGTGTGGATAATTACTTCATCTGGAGTTTCATTGGACCCGTCTCTTTTGTCATTGTGGTGAGTCTGGAAATAAGCAACCAGCGTTTCCCTTAAGAGCACTAGTGCCCTTACTCCAGTCTTTCCTGACCAGTCCTAGAGCTCAGAGGAGTGTCTGGGGGTGGGAGAGAGGGAGGATGTAGTGGTCCTTGCTAGGAATTCTCCCCACAGAATCGCCTCCAAACCAAACAAAGAGAAAGCCCCCAGTAGGGAAAAGGGAGCTGCTATGGGGCAAAGGACTTTGTTTCTCCTGCTCATGTCCAGTTGTACGCATCCCCCAGATCAACCTGGTGTTCCTCATGATCACACTGCACAAGATGATCCGCAACACATCCGTCCTGAAACCAGATTCCAGTCGATTGGACAACATCAAGTGAGTTAATATTTTGATTCTTTTTGATCCTCTGGTTTAGATTCAGATTTCTTGGTGTCTTAATAGTACACTTCCAGTTTCGTTCTACATCTGGTTCTTCTCATTCAATATTTTGGGGTTAATGCCCTACACAATGTCCAGGGGACCCCCTCCCAATTTTTACATCTCCTGTTGCCAATTTTGCCAACTTGTTTTTAGCTTTTAAATATTTTATTTTAATTATGTAAGCCATCTTGAGTCCTTTTTAAGGAGAGAAGCAGTGTAAAAATATTTATTTGTTTGTTTATTTAATTAATTTATGTAATGTCCATCTGGCTTCGAAGTCCACTCTGGATATGTAAGCCATCTTGAGTCCTTTTTAAAGGAGAGAAGCAGGGTAAAAATATTTGTTTGTTTATTTAATTTATATAATGTCCATCTGGCTTCAAAGCCCACTCTGGGTGGTTTACAATGAAGTAAAACAATGATCAACAATTATAATTGGACAACATTAAATTATATCAGCGTGAACATCAAAATAATATGAAGGAATGAACATATACTAAACATAATTTAAAATGCAATACAATAAACATTTATTAAAAACATTCCAGATGGTGGTGATCAAATAACTTAGAGACTGGTAGGTATTTAAAAATATTTTAAATAAATAAATGGAAAGAAAAATGTCACCTCAGACAGGCATTTTAAGTGTCTTGTTTGTTTGGAAAAAGTCTCTCTAGTCCAACCCTCCTCCATTTGTAGAAGCCAAGGCTAAAAAACAACAAGAGTCTTGTCTGACTTGCCTGGGATTAATCCTTGAAAGCCACTGATCAAGCCACTCTGATAAGACTCTCTTCATGGCTTCATCATGAAACCTGTTTGTTTTTTGAGGTACTTCTGTTAATTCCATTGACTTCTGTTTCTCCTCCAAAAATTTTGTCCAAATATTTGGGATCAAAGCATTCACTGAAGCCTTCAGTTTCAAAAAACCTTAAGATGAAACCTTTGTCATTGAAATTTTGTTGGCATAGAAGCATTCAAGCTGCAAGCTTTTTGCGTTGAAGGCCATGTTGGTACTGACAGGTGAATTAGTGGCAGCATCCATCTTATACACCTCCCCTCCAACTTCTGGCAGATCAATTGACACAGCCAGACGTAAGAAGGCATCAAACTGTAAGTCAGCTTCCATCAACTCAAAGGGAAAGAAGTCCAGGAAGATGCCTCAGAAAAATACCTTTTCTCTCCTATTATGGCAGAGGATTATGATACTGACTCATATCCACTTTCACTGTTTCCCATTTCCTTGCCCTTTCTTTAAAGAGAAATTGTTATTGCGCTCTCCAGCAAATCTGTGGCATGAACAGGGCAAGCCTCCCACTGTAGTTCAGGGGGCAACCAAGAAGTGGCCTTTGTTCACTGGATCATGGTAGTCCAGAGAAAGCAGCCAGCTTGGTGTTTAATGGGACAGACTCTTGGCCCAGGTTATGGGCCAGAGTGTCAGACTTCAGGGCGGCATGACTCATCAGAAGGGATAGGGGGCCATGAGGGGCACTCCAGTGTCATCTGTCATCCTGAATGAGACTCGGAAACAGCCATCAACTCGGACAGAGAATGTTTATTCAAAATATTTACATCTTCTCTCTACCAGCCAGTTCAAGTCACCACAGGGAAATCAGCTCTAGTCTGCCGAGTCACTTACAATTAGATGCGGCGAGGTTGCCTTCATTGCAGCCCATGCCCAGGCAGTCCAACCTCAAGTCACGGTTTATAGACCCTCTGGTTCTCCTCCCAAATATCCATAGCCAGCTGTCACAGTCTCTTATACTGTCTCTCATGACACCAGCAGCACAGTTGGCTCAGTCACTTCAGCAGGGTCCTTTTTCTTTCTTCAAGCATGACTCCTGGCCTGATCTTAACCCTGCCAGATTGTCTAGAGTCCTTCCTGGAGTCTATTGTTAGCCCCTTTTCAGTAGGGAAAATGAGAGGATGTGGCTCAAAAGAGGAGTTCCTTCAGGGTCAGCGTAGCCAGCCTACATGGCAGTATCCAGCTCCTCACTACTCCACTCTGGAGTGCCAGCCCAGTCCTTTGTATTACTTCGATCCTTTTCTTTCCTGCCAACAACCCCAAGATCTTCTCTCTCCCTGCTCAGGGCAACCACCTCCTTTCGGCACAAAACTTCCTTGGTGGGCTTTTTCCAGCCTTTCTCTCCTTCTCATGCCTGATCATCCATCCTGCCTCCTGGTTCAAAATAAGAGGCTATGCTGGGGTAATACCTGGAGTGGAGCAGAGATCCACCCATGCCCAATATGTATCCTTGATAGGGACCTGTGGGAGGGTTAATGGGATGTAGAGGTAGACCCTTCCTGTGAGCCCAAGCTCACCTGCTCTCACAGATCTTCTTTGTCTTTTAAGTAAAATCTCAAGATTCACCAACAAGAGGTTTGGTGCCAAATATATAAACTTAGAATCAAACAACAGGGTGACTATGAGTGAGCTTAAAAATGTGTTTCCAATACCAAAACTGAACTGAGCTCACAGGCCTTTCATGCAAATGTCTATTGCAGATTACCTTAGGCTTCCTTCGTTTCAGCAGCCTATCTGAGGTAGAAGAAATGATGTTATTATTGCTGTTGCTCAAAAATTGGGATTTGCTGAACTACCGCAAATTCCTGGAAGGTGTATTAGTAATTTGCCTTCAACTTTCTCCCTGACTGTGAGGCAGTGGTCCCCATTTCTCAGTCCTAGCAATATGTCTCTTCTGGCCAACAGCTGGGAATAAAAAGACCTGATTCTTTCAGATTAGGCATCCTTCAGTCTTGAGAGACTATGGTAACGTGCTCTGAATAGAGGTCTTGGAACAGCGTCTAGTGTGGCTGAGAAGGCCAATTCGAAAGTGACAATCCCTTCCACACTAAGGACAAATACAGTCTGTCCCCTGTCCTGCTCCCTGATTTTGCTGGTTTGGGGACCGCCTCTTTGTCTCGGCCTGCTGGACAAGAGTCTCTTTTTTGACCTGATTCTAGTGGCTGGTGTTTCAAGGGTTGAAATTAGCCTTTTAAAATGCTGGGATATGAATTACTACCTGCATTTACACTTGGTAACATTTGTAAGTATGTGTATGACCATTTAGGTTATAAAACAGATCATTAATTCTGCTGTTAGGGTTAGAGGTTCTAACACTTCACTCCAGCCTGCTGACACAGGAACTCTGAGGGATCGGAAAAGCCCATAGATTTTTCCTATGGCAAACATTCCTCTCCACAGGGGAGAGTTTCCTTGTCTTCCTGGAACTCAAATAGTTCTTAGCACTTTAGAATCAAAAATTAATCTGGACATCCTTGTATGAAGCTCTCTTCTGGGCATATGAATAAATTAAATATCACTCATGAAGAATTAGTTCTTCCTTCAGACATTTTGTCCTTCTATTCTACCGTCTCTGAATAGACAGTTGAATGAGCCGAGCTGATACTACAGTGGGGTCTCGACTTACAAACTTAATCCGTATTGGAAGGCAGTTTGTAAGTCGAAAAGTTTGTAAGTCGAATCAGCATTTCCCATAGGAATGCACTGAAAACCAATTAATCTGTTCCGGCAGTTTTTGGTTCTTAGGTTGAGGGGCATTTCCCATAGGAACTAAGGCAAAGCCGGTTAATCCGTTCCTACCACTAGGGGCAGAATTTCTTTCTTTTTTCCTTTTAATCTAAGATGACTTAGGTTTAAAAAAAAAGGAAAGAAATGAGGGAGAGCAGGAGGAAACAGACACCTTTTCAACAGAACGCCCTGAAAAGCACATTTTAAAGCAAGACAAGCCAATACAAGCACCTTTTGGGGAAAGGGGGGGCAGCAAAGGAGGGAGGGAACACCTTTTAAAAATCCAAAAATCAAAAATTAAAAAAGCGCCAAAAAATAAAAATACAGTCCGTACCGCACTGTACCAGCAGTACCAGGCAGTACCAGGCAGTCTGAAGGCTGTCTCCAAATCCACTCTCAAAACGCTGGGAAGAGCGAGGAAGTAGATAAGCACCCTCTTCACTGGCCAACGGTTAACTGAAAGGTCAAACTTCATGCTTTCCCCACCTCAAACACGTTTTTTTTGGTTTGTAACTCGAATCTAAGTGTGCAAGTCGAGTCAATATTTTTCTCTCAGAGTGATTTGTAAGTCGAAATGTTTGTAACTCGAGCCGTTTGTAAGTTGAGGGTTGACTGTAGTTTATATGTTTTCATCCAATTTTTTCATATACAGTACAAGAAAACTATCATTTAAAAAAATGCAAAATCAGTCAATAGACTTCATAACTTCTTCTTGCCTATATCTGTATTATTATTTCTTTCACCAATTACTGAGCTTGTATCTATAAAAGTTAGACATTTTCCTAATCCCAAGCATCTTCAGCTTGATCCCAAGCATCCCAAGGCACCAAGAATGTAATGAAAACATTAGCTATCTAATCAGGTTTGTTACTAGAAGCATGCCAGTTGATGCTGTCAAGCTCGTGTTATTGGAAGAGTTTGCTTAGACTTTTTCCAAAACATTTGCAATCAGCATTGTCCAATTGTCACACTTGTAATGAGAAAAATAATACATTTTCTAATTTTTTATATTGCTCCTTGTAAGATATCTCAAAGTGTACTAAAAAGAAAAGCATTCAATCAGTATTTACTATGCCAACTCAGATGAATAGATTAAGAGCATTACGTGTTCTTGTATATGTTTAGTGCTAAACAGTCTCAATAATCTTCATCTGCTAAGAGTTTTGAGAAACAATGGGAATGTTTATGTTGCCGAGAAGCTGTGAAGGACAAATGCGTGTCAGCAAGTGAAAGAAAATATTTTTCTCTTTTAACTATACGTGTGCAACTCCTATAAACAGACTTTTAAATAAGATTCTTTAACAGGTGGACAAGTGGAACTATAGTCTTTCAAACATTAATTGTCCCTTTTTGTAAAGAATGTGTTTGCATTCATTCTAAGGGTTTTTCTTGAGTTCAAAAATGAATTGCAGAATCTGGAGATTCT